TTAAGTTACGAAATTTTTATAAAAATGTTTCTTACACACCATTATATTGGCTGGGCCACAAAAATATTCGTTGTGGGCCGAATGTGGTCTGAGGGCCCCAAGTTTGACGTGCTTGCTCTAGAGTCCCAGGCGTCTTCAAACTACGGCCCGCGGGCCACATGCGGCCCGCAGAGGAGTCTGATCCGGCCCGCCAGGTTTTTTGGGCAGTGAGCGCAGCCGAGGTGTTACAGTAGGAATTAGTAGTTCATATAGTCTGGCCCTCTAGCTCTCTGAGGGACCGTGATCTGGCCCCCACTTTAAAAAGTTTGAGGACCCCTGCTAGACGGACCTCTCCCTTAGTGTACCTTCTCAGCCCTGGGATGCTGCTTCTTAGTCAGCCACCGTCTATACTTCAGAGTTCCTTTCCCTTCCATGAAATTGAAATATCAAAACTAAAGAAAGAACTTTAAAGAAAAACAACTATAGACAAACATTCGTCATAAATTTAGATGCAAAAATTCTGAACAAATTTTTGGCAAATTGAATGCAACAGTGTTTTAAAAAGGACAAACATGGTCAAGTCAGATTTATCCAAGGAATTCAAGATTAGTTTAATATTTGAAAATCCATCAGTGTAATTCATCATAATAACAAACTAAAATGAAAAGGCCATATCACCTTAGTATATGCACAATCAGTCATTTTTCAGAACACTTCATCTTACTGATGCAAAAAAGCATTGGCAAAATCCAAATCCATTCTTGATTTTTTTAAAAATATTTTTTAATTGATTTTTTACAGAGAAGAAGGGAGAGAGATAGCTAGAAACATCAATGAGAGAGAAACATCAATGAGCTGCCTCCTGCGCACCCCCTCCTAAGGATATGTCCACAACCAAGGTACATGCCTTTGACTGGAATTGAACCTGGGACCCTTCAGTCTGCAGACCGACGCTCTGTCCACTGAGCCAAACCGGTTTCGGCCCATCCTTGATTTTTTTTTTTTTTAAACAACTCAATAAACTAGGAAAGAGAGAAATTCCTCAGTCTAATAAAGAACATCTATAATGTCCTTTATTAGATATATTAGACAATAAAGAGACTTACATCTAACTCTTACAATAAAACAAACAAAAAAAAAGCCAATTAAAAATGAGCAAAGGGACTTAAATAGACATTTCCCCAAAGAAGATATGCAAAAGACCAACAAGCACATGTAAAGAGGCTCAACCACATTAGTCACTAGGAAATGCAAATCAGCACCACAGTGAAGTACCCCTGCATATTCAATAAGGTGGCCATAGTAACAATAACTAACAATTCAGAAAATACCAAGTGTTTTAAAAAAATACAGAGGGAGAGAGAAAAAAAAAAGAAAATATGGAGAAATTGGAACCCTCAGACATTGCTAATGGAAAGGTAAAGTGATATAGCTCCTGTGGAAAACAGTTTGGTGGTTTTTCCATAAATTAAACATTGAATTACCGTATGACCCATCATTCCTACTACCAAAAGCATTGGAAGCAGGTGTTCAAACAAAACAGCACTATACACAATAGTGAAAAGGTAGAAACCACCCAAATGCCCATCAACTGATGAATGGATAAAAAAAAATATAGTCTAGTTACACAGTGGAATGTTATTCAGCTATGAAAAGGATGAAGGACTGATAGATGCTGCAAATGTTTGAACCTTTAAAACATTATGCTGTAAACATTATAACCAGTCACAAAGGATTCTGCTTAGACAAAATGTCCAGAATAGGCAAATCTGTAGAGACAAAAAATAGATTAGGGCTGGGCTGGGTGTTGGTAGGAAGTGGGGAGTGACTGCTAAAAGGTGTGGGATTTCTTTTTGGGGTGATGAAATGTTCTGAAAATGACAGATTGTGCATATACTAAAAACCATCAACGTATACACTTTATTTTTTTTAAAATATATTTCAATGATTTTTTTTTACAGAGAGGAAGGGAGAGGGATAGAGAGTTAGAAACATCGATGAGAGAGAATGTACATGCCCTTGACCGGAATCAAACCCGGGACCCTTCAGTCTGCAGGCTGTGCTCTATCCATTGAGCCAAACCGGTTTCGATTGGTGTGAGATATATGGCACATAACTGATCCTATATAATAAAAGGCTAATATGCAAATAGACCAAACAGCAGAACAACCCAACATCTGGTTGCTATGATGTGCGTTGACCACCAGGGAGCGCGTACATGGTGGGTGTCAGCAGCAGGTGGCAGAGCATGGAACATGGCGGATGTTGGCCGTGGTGGGATGGTGGAGCAGGTGAGCAGGGGCACCAGACCAAGGCAGGGCGTTGGTCACTGTCATCGGGTTGTTACTGAAAATTCTTTGCTCCCACGTGCCATGGTCCGCCCGGCGCTTCCACCTGCTGCCAGCCCCGATGGCCCCTCAGGGGGAGGGGGAGGTAGAGAAGCCCTCTGGGACATCAGGGCTGGCAGCTGCTGCTTGCCCCCGCTGACAGCATGGAGCAATTGGGGCTGGTGCCGTCAGCAGTGTGAGTGGGGCCTGAGCAGTCAGTGCATGGAAGTGGTGGCAGAGGGAGTAGGGCTGCTGGCAGACAGGACTGCATCTGTGATAGGAGGAGCCAGGCAGGGGCATGGAGGATGGGCCCAGACCAGCCCCTGTGCCCACCACAGCCTCGCAGCCCACAGTGGCTTTTAAGGTGCACCAATTTGTGCACTGGGCCCCTAGTGTCTCAATAAAGATGTCATAAATAGTAACAGAAAAGTGCACACACACCAAGAAGGCACTTTCTTGGAAGGTTCTAAGCGGATTCGGCCTCACCAGAAGTTTAGATAAGTGAAGTTCGACTTAAAGAGCCCCCACAGAGTTTGGATCAGTTATGGCTGGATTTCTTAGGAGAAATAGCAGCGTGGGAATTTAAGGTCATATAGCTAGTCCAGGATGGAAGACAGTCCGAGCTAGGAACTATTGTAGATGCCAGAGTTTGTGTCCTTGCTCTTGGCTAACAGCTGAGAACATCCATGACTGCGAATCTCAGTGAGATAGCTCCCTTTCCCTACCGCCAACTCCACGGTGCTCATCAGAAAGCACTCATCACTTGGGTGCCACCATCTGTTCAATAGGATCCCAGAAGTCTTGGATTCAGCAATTTCTAGAGCAAAAATCAGGACAAAGCAATCCCTTTGAAGATATTCAGCATGCAGCTTCTCTCCTCGGGGAAGTGATGTCTGCCCACAGGAACACTCAGCTGAGAATAAGATAGAAGGCTGTGTGACATAGTGCCCGCATGTCAGAGCAACCTGTGCACACTCAGAGAAACAGCCGCATGTAAGCTCTGCTGACTGTTCATGACTATCCAGGGCAACACTAATTCATCGGGATGGATTTCAGATAGCAGACTTTTTAAAATATATATTTTATTGATTTTAGAGAGGAAGGGAGAAGGAGAGAGAGAAGCATCAACGATGAGAGAGAATCATTGATTGGCTGCCTCCTGCATGTCCGCCCCCCCCCCCCCTCCCGCTAGGGATCAAGCCAGCAACCCAGGTATGTGCCCTTGGCCGGAATCAAACCTGTGATCCTTCAGTCGCAGGCCGACGTTCTATCCATCGAGTCAAACCAGCCAGGGCTAGCAGAGCTTTATCTCACAAGATATTTCTGTGCTTTAAGTATATGGGTTTGTTTGCTGAGCCTTCATTTTTATCTGATCATCAAATGAATAGAAGGACCAAAATCTCTGTCTGCCTTTGGATTATTTCTGTGAGATAGATTCCCATGTATGAAATAATCCCAAGTCAAAGGGTGTGAGCATTTATAAAGGTTCTTGAACCTCATTGCCACATTGCTTTGCAAAAAGATGGAACCAATTTACACTCTTACCAGCAGTGTATGAAAATATATTTAAATGCAAATTCCAAACTGCGGAGAGGCTCCTCCTTGGGCATTTCACTTAAAATTTTGTTTACTGCTAAGCAAACAGTGACCTAGGGTGTTGAAAGAAGAAAGTCTGACATGGAAGTGGAGCAGGTAGTGAAAACGGCTCTCAAGCCGAAATGAGCTTTAGAAAGGCCGGAGCAGGATAACAATTGTAAGGCAGCATCACAGGGACCATTAACCATTTGGCTTGGATTGGATTGGCAGCTGCCAAGAATGTGGGGCGTGGTCCATGTACCAAATTCTAGTTGAGAAAAAGGAGTGTATTTTATGTATTTACACTTTACGCTGTTCCACACACAATTTTTAAGATTCCGAAAGGCAGGAGAAAGGGGCATTGTGTATGAATAATCAATCTCGTGCAAGTGAGAGGAACCCACGGCCCTGGAACTACTGTCAAGTCTTATCTCTCCCTGCGGCCCCGCCCGGCGGGTAAATCCCCAGTTCGGTTTGCAGCCGCAGTGACCGCCTCTGCTAATCCTGGGCGCGGCGGTTTAGGGGGCACGAGGGCGGGGCAGGCGGGGAAAGCCCGGACTCGGGGTGCCAGCCCACCGAGTTCTGCACAAACTCATGTGGTGCTGGCGCCTCCACCTTCGGCCGGGATCCCCCTCTGCCCGTTACAGCAGCCGCCCGGCCGGCCCGCGAGTCTTCCAGGACTTGTGGGGCCCCCGCCGGGGAGAGCTGGCTCCCGAGGGGGAGCCGGACCTCACTTTCTCACTCTTCCCCCGTTCCTGCTCCCTCTCCCTCCTTCCTTTTCTTCTTGGCGTCTCCCCTACCCCCTCCTCTCCTCCCTCCTTCCTCCTCCCCTGCCCCTGCGCCCAGGCCGACCCTCCCCTCCCCTCCCCTCCCCTCCCCTCCGCCTTCCCCTCGCTCGGAGCCCCTCTCCCTCCCCTCTCGCCCCGCCCCTCCTCCCCGCGCCGCTCTCGGCCAATCAGCGCGCGGCGGCCCGGGCCCCGCCCCCGCGGTTCCGGGGCCTGCGGAGCCGGCCGGGGCGGAGGGCGGCGCCGCGGGGCGGGGGCGGATGGGGCCCGGCGGGCGGGGGTCGCGGGCGCGGGGCTCGCCGGGACGCCGGCGCCCGGGGCCGTGAGGACGAGGCGGCGCGGGGCCTGCCCGGCATGGGCCAGCCGCGGCCTGGCGGGGCCGAGCCGGCGGGGGGAGCGCGGGGCCGGGCCTGCGGGGCGGGCGGCCCGCCCGGGGGCTGAGGGAGAAGTGGGCGCGGAGGAAGGGGCCGAGCCTCGGCGGTGGGTGGAGCGGCGAGGGGGCGGGGGCTGGGCCGCGGTGCAGCGGAGCGGGCGCCTGTCCGGAGCGCGGCGGCGGCGCCGGAGGAGGCGGAGGCGGCCCTGACGAGCGCCCGGAGGTGGCGGCCGAGGCGCCGGGGGCCCCATGGGCGGGTGTGTGGGCGCCCAGCACGACTCCTCGGGCAGCCTCAACGAGAACTCGGAGGGCACCGGAGGTAGGTGAGCGCCAGGGGGCAGCCTCGGCCCCCCATTGTTCCCGGCCCGGGCCCGGCCACCTGTCCCGGCCCGCGAGCCCGCGGCCGGGGTCCCGCGCCCCTTTGTCATCCCTCCTCCGCGTCACTGCGCCCCGCTTCCGGCCGCCCAGGCCGCGGGGTCCCCCTTCCCCCTTCCCCTCCCCTCCCCTCCCCTGCTCTCCCGCCCGCCCGCCCGCCCCGCAGAAAGTCCTCCGCCCGGGCACGCCGCCCGCCCTCCCGACCCCGCGCGCGGCCGGGACGCTCGGCCCGGAGCTGCCCCCCGGCCCCGCGCCGGCGGTGAATTATGCAGGAGCGGATGGCGGCGCGGCGGGGCGGGGCGGGCCCACTGCCTCCCCCGGCCCGGCCCGCACCTTCCCCGCGGCTCAGCTTTCCGAGGCTCAGGTGACAGCCCGGCCCCTCCCGTTGGGCCATTTAAACCCGAGTCCTGAGCCCGGGGCCGCGGGCTCTTTCCCGGGGGCGGGAGCGGGCGGGGGACGTGGCTGCCCGCTGCCCGGGTGCGGGCCAGCTCGCCTTCGGGGTGGGCTAGTCAGATTCCGATCCGGCTGACGTCAGGGAAAGATGTAGGATAAAAGCACAAATGCACGGTGTCCGCCTTCCCGCAGGATCGGGTCCTTAAAAGTTTTCCTGCACGGAACGCGCTCCTACTTCATTGTATCCCAAAGAGTTTGCCGAGGAGAGGTCCTTAATTCATTAATCCTGCCTTTCCTTACGTGACCTTTTACCGAATCCATGCCATAGCTGTGTGCAGGGTAGTGTTTTACTTACAGAGGAAACCTCTAGGGATAACGGAGGAGTCGGTGTCGGTTTGGGTGCAACCTTATATTACGTAGATGTCTCCCATGAGGGGCCTATATGTATACGTTACTAAATGAAATCGTTTGGGGATAAAAGAGTTTACAACTTTTTCTTAGACTAAAAGTTGTTGCTTGCCCTATCCCTTAAGCTCCGTCCATGAACCAGGCGCACACCTAACTTTCCGCTAATGAATTTCCTGAATTGCATGATGCTTAGCCTCGCCACTTGATTAAAATCTCTGGGTGTCCTGCGTGATGGCTAAATCTTGGGCAAATAGTTGGAAAGGTCGGTGGAGTGTTTCTGAAAAAATTGTCCAGGAAAACTACTTTAGAGTGCATTTCAAGTCATACCAGACGTTTTTGGTGGCATATTAACAAAGATCCGCAGCGACAACAAAGCAGGAAGATAAAAAGTGTATGATTTAAACCACAAAACAGCCTTGGGTTAAGATCAAATTGGGGGTCACAGTGATTCTTCTTGCCATTAAAGTGGTACTTGTTATAGGTGGTGTTTAGTTTTAATTGTTTTACACTACGTTGAAATTCAAATAAACATTTTTTCTCTTCTTGGTAATAAACTTGAGCCAATTTATTTCTTGTGATAGTGTGACTTAATGACCAGCCATGTATGTTAGTGTGGGCTTTTAAGAGCATGAAGTCTTGGGTTTTGGCTATTTATCACCAGTGGTATCTAGTTATTTCGATAGATGGCTGTAGTATCAGTTTCTTTGAAAACTGAGTTCTCTGGACCTTAAGCAGTGCCATATTTTTCCAAATTAAAGTTTAGAAAAAAACTTTTTTTTTTTTGTTTTCTTCTGGAGAGAAGGCGTGGCCTTGGGGTGGAGAAAGGAGCTGTGAAGGATAAAGGATTATTTCTGGGATTTAGTTATAGAAGCCTCTATTCTCCATTATTGTCCTGATAGTTAGGAGTTAATTGTGGTTTAAAGGAATTAGTTCAGGTGAGCGGTTCAGGTTAACAAATTAAATAGCTCTTGCTTAGTACAGTAAGCTTTTGGTGGGAAGGGAAAGACTATTCTTCCTAAGAGTGTTGGCACAGATCCTTTGCATTTCAAACATTTAGTAGTGGTTAGTAGTTGTAATCTGGACATACGGGTTATGAAAATTTCCTTTATCAACATGGAATAAAGTACAGACTTCTGATGCTTTTCATGACAGATTTAAGATTTTCATGACAGATATACATTCACAGTTGTCCTGCAAACATCATATAATGGCAAATAATTGTGTGTATACCGAGAAAAATTTCCTTACTAGGTACAATACTTGTTTAAAGGAATTTGAGAAATTTTTGCAAAAAGACTAGAATGTGGAAATGACTTAATTCATGAAAGATTTGTGTTATTTGAAATCATTTCTAGCATCTTTCTTTGGCATACCTTGCCTAGAATTCAGTTTTTGAGTTTTAGCTACTTTGACCATCTTTTAATGCCTAATGTTAGTCAAGACAGATATATTTTAATAGGATTTAACAATTCTCTCCACAATTTCATGCTCCTAGGATTTTCTGTTGTTTTGACATTTTTAGATAGCATATTCTGTATGGTTGTCTGCCTTATTATGATGACATTGTGATGTTTAGGACGTCTAGATTAGATTTTAGCTCATGGTATTTGCTAAGGAATTAAATCTCGTACGATTTTTGAAAATAAGAATTATGGGGTGGGGGATTAATAAAATGAAATTAATTGAAGACAGCCAGCTCGATCCTTTGTTCTCTTTAATGACCATAGTGATGTACAAAGATTACTTGCTGCGTGTGTCATTTTCCATACATTGTGATATTCCAAAAGGACTGGCCTTGATGGTCACAAGTTTCCACGTTTACAGGAGGATAACAGAATAATGTACATTCACTTTTTAGTTTATGAAATATATTCTTATTGATTTCGTAGAGGAAGGGAGAGAGATGGAAACATCAATGATGAGAGAATCATAAGTAGGCTGTCTCCTGCATTCGCACCTGCATCTCCTTCCCTCCCTCCCATCCCCCCTTCCCCTCTGGGGATCAAGCCTGCAACCTAGGCATGTGCCCTGACTGGGAATTGAACCATGATCTCCTGGTTCATAGGTCGACACTGAGTCTGGAGCTAGTTTCATTTTTTTTTTAAATATATATTTTATTGATTTTTTACAGAGAGGAAGAGAGGGATAGAGAGTGAGAAACATCGATGAGAGAGAAACATCTATCAGCTGCCTCCTGCACACCCCCTAGTGGGGATGTGCCCGCAACCAAGGTACATGCCCTTGACCGGAATCAAACCTGGGACCTTTCAGTCCGCAGGCTGACGCTCTATCCACTGAGCCAAACCGGCGCTAATTTCATATAAAATTTGCCATATTAAGCCCTTATCAGAAATACAATTTGCAAATATTTTCTCCCATTTTGTAGATTATCTTACTTTCTAAAATGAATTCCAATTTATTTTTCCTTTTGTTACCTGTGCTTCTAGCTTAGTTTTATATATGTTTAATCCTTTGTTTATTGGGAGAGAGTAATTCTGTAATCAGTAATTCACAAATTTTTAACATTCTTTTTCTTTTTTTTAAAAATATTTTATTGATATTTTACAGAGAGGAAGAGAGAAGGATAGAGAGTTAGAAACATCGATGTGAGAGAAACATCGATCAGCTGCCTCTTGCACACCCACTACTGGAGATGTGCTCGCAACCGAGGTACATGCCCTTGACCGGAATCGAACCTGGGACCTTTTAGTCCGCAGGCCGACGTTCTACCCACTGAGCCAAACCGGATTCGGCTTAACTAACATTCTTAACTATGAATAGAAAGTTAAAATTTTAAGTTTATTTCCTCTGTCTAATCTGGTAAAAAGGTTGATTAGCATTGAAATGGTTTTTAGAAAGTTGACAAAGCTACCTTCCATTGGGCTAGTCCCACTCTTTTTAATTTTTACCTCCAAATTGGTACTCATATTTTCTATGTTTTATATAAAGTATAATATATTTTATAACTAGTGGCCTGCTGCACGAATCTGGCACACTAAGAGGAAATTAATTGTGCCAATAGTTGGTCTTCAGATACATTCTGCCGATGATGCTGGCTTCTTCAGCTTCGGAATGTTAACAAAAACAACAAAATTCAGGATTGACAATGATAGATCGAAACACACATGGAATTGGCACCTGTGAGAGCTTTATATTGAAATATGTATCATGCATGTACTACCCTGTTTCCCCGAAAATAATACAGTGTCTTATATTAATTTTTTCCCCAAAGTTGCGCTAGGTCTTATTTTCAGGGGATGTCTTATCTTTCCATGCGCTAGGTCTTATTTTCAGGGAAACACGGTAGTTAATGTTTATTTTTAAATTGTACCGACTGGTCGGTCAGATGGATGATTGGTCACTTAGACACACACACACACATATATGAATTTCTATATTTTCCATTCTGTTTTATATTTTTAACACCAAGAGTTGAAATCTCTTCCACCCACTCCACCCCCAGTTAAGATTATATTGGAATTTATGTTAGAAGGGATTTCAGAGAGGAAAGGAGAGGGAGAGAGAGATAGAAACATCAATGATTACAGAATCATAGGCTGCCTCCTGCACACCTCCTACTGGGCATGGAGCCTGCAACCTGAGCATGTTCCCTGACTAGGAATCAAACCATACCTCCTGGTTCAGGGGTTGATGTTCAACCACTGAGCCATGCTGGCTGAGCTGGAAAGGCGTTCATTATTAAAGAAGATTCTTATTATGGATATTAAATGTACTGTTTTTGTTTTTTTTTGTTTTTAATTCTGATTTTATTTAGGAGTCAGTTGCTAGTGCTATATATTGTACTATGGACAGAAGCTTTAAGCTTTTAGAAATGTTAGGAGTCTTTATTCCTCTGATTTTTGATAGCTTTAGTTTATATAACACCTCTCTTATGCAGCAATTTTAATAGATTTTATTTTGAAATCCTATCCTCTTACTGTAAATGCAAAACTTTGGCAGCAAATTTTGAGTGGTACTGTACTCAGTGAGTCTCCTAATGAGAATGATTATTGAGTATTAATCAATAAGGAACTTTTGCCATGATGTTAATGGTTAGTTATCTCTCATGTGGCTTTTGACCAAAACACATTCTTCTCTCGTTGCAAGAAAGCAGTGTGTTGGTTTTGGTAAGCAGCATGATCATGTT